TTTTTTTTTTTTTTTTTTTTTTTTTTTTTTTCTGAGAAAGAACGGGCGTGAGTTTCAGGCAGTTTTTTTTACCAAACTTTTTTTTCCTGTCACGATTGTTTATGAATTTCATGATCCATGAGTGGCTGCGTGTGTATGTGTATGCGTGTATGTGTGTGCGTGTTTGATTTTCAAATTTGTTTTTTCAACTAGCTTTGTGCTGCCGAAGCTTGCTTGTTTTTTTTTTTTTTTATGATTCGTCGAATTGCCTTATAACGAATGAAGGGGGCTTTCTTCTGTAGGCTTGTTGCTTCGGCACTTATTGTTTTTGCTCGAAATAGGATGTACCTTCACAGAAAGTGCTCACTTCGCTGCAGGTATCGATCCGGACTTTTCAACCAGCTTTATTTTATGACTGAAGGTGGTACTGTTTGGGTGAATTATGATGAAAGTTGGCGTAAGACCGAGAAGCAGATGAGTTTATTGAGTGAGCAGCAGTTCAAAAAATATGGCCGCTTTTTATATCTCGAATGTTAGTTTTTTCTTCTCGTTCATCTATGAGCATCTTTTAGACATAACTTTGTAAACTGATTACTTCCAGTTTTCTTGCTTTTCGATGAGCTAACATCATTTAACATAGCACTGCGCAGCCAGAACGTCATGCTACCGGCTGCTTATTTCCCAAAAGGCATACAGAAGAATGTATTTTCTCTGTTTAATCCGGTAATTTCTGGTATCAGAGTGGCGTCACGCTACTTGCCGCCATCTTTCACAAAAAAACACTCCAGTAGACGGGAAAGTTGGAGAACGAGGTGAAGAAAAAATTTCAGTCCGGCTGGAAATTGTAGTTTTCGGATTGAATTGGGCATTTTTTTACTCAGAATTGATGCCTACTAAAGAAGGAACAATTACTTAACTTCCTTGTTTTTTATTTATGGATGTTTTATTTCTCCCAAACTCGGGTATTGGATGATTTCACTTTCAGCGTGGGAATATCACATGATGAACACATACGATGTGCACTTCTACTCGTCGTTTGCATTTCTCGTGAACTGGCCGGAAATCGAGCTCTCCATCCAACTTGATTATGGTGAGTGAATTGAATTTTGCTTTTTTCTCCAAATCCATACATTTTCGAGCGCTGTAGAAAAGCGAAAAATTTTGTGTTGTATTTTCAGCGGATCAGGTGCTTTATGAGGATGATCGGCGAACAGGCAATATTTATGAGGGAACGGTAACACGAGTTAAAAGAATCAATCGAATTCCACATGATATGGGGAATCCAAGTTTGTTTTGATCTTATTAATATGCTGATTTTTAAATATATTTTGCGGTTTTCACTGTTTTGGTCGTTCACCAAAACTGCCACGAGCATTCGGATTGTCACTATGAAAAGTTGTTGTTGCAGGAATACACCTAAACTCTGTCTGCAGCAATGCTAGGATGCGTACAGCTTTTTCGTAGGCAATTTAATTGGGTGTTTTCGAGTGCCAGTTACTGTTTTTAAATA